GATGGTTTCCATTAGCTCGTTTGTTTGTTTATTTAAATCCTAATGAGTTTATTGGGATTCCTAACGGAGCATAGGGTGGGGGGTTATTTATAGAATAGTGGGCACCCCCCCCACTTATGGCTGCACTGGAAAGTCCACACTCAAATATAGATCCTGTGACTTCCCAACAGCCTCACAAAATGGCAAGAGAGGTGCCTCATGGCATTCTCAGCTTATATATCCTTAACTCTTCCCCAACATGCAGCTACGGTTGCCTGATTGCATGAGAGGGGTAAATGACTCCCCCATTGACTTCTTGACAAACATGGGATGGAGACATGACTATAGCTTGCCATTGCAGGACACTTCCAGGTAACACTCCACCCCTTCCTCCAGCTCTTACATTCTTTCCACCAACCTCTTCTGCAGAAGTCCCCGAGCCTTGAAGGGGGTGGTAGGTGTGAAGTGATCTTTCTCCCATTATGGCAAGGCACTGAACTTTTGGGTCTCTTCCAATGGCTGCTGAAGAGATTAGTGATTTAGGGGAAGACACCTTAAGGGAATTTCAGGAATTGATCTGACCCCACCTTTCCAAGGTTCAACACTATAAAACATTTAACCTTGCTTTGAGAAGATAGCTCCAGGTGTCCTGCTTACACAGGCCTGCCTAGGCCAAGTGTTTCCCTGTGGTCAGTCTGCAGGTACTGTGAACCCTCTGCAGCTCTGCTGCAGTGGAATCCAGCCACAGCTTGAACTGGCAGCCAACCTTGGCATTGACTGTAAAACACTGATTCCACAGAGGTATAGAATGCAAGAGTCATAGTGTCATGGAAGTTTTTTCACACATTTTAAAGGAAAGCCTGGGAAGACAGGCAATGAAGGACATGGTCAGTATCCCACAAGGAGTCTGAAAAGCTGGTGCATGTGGCCATGGGAATGAAGCCAAATAGGCCATGAAGAACTCAGGAACGTGGAATGTCTGCCAAGGAAAACCACAGTCAACAAGTGCAGTCAGCCCAGGACAGAGTTTGCAGTGACCAAGGCCACAGGTACATGGCTTCATGGGTCCTTTGGAATTTACATTATACCAACACACACACACTTGGTGCCAAAAATGCAACTACAGATTCAATGTTTGTCCAAATGGATTTCAATCTTGTTTTGGTCTGGTCCCTCCTTTGTATGCCCCCATACTTCCTTTATGGATGGAAATGTTTAACTTATAATTTCACACTAGCACTATGTAACTTGCCTTTTTATTCTGTAGAGACTTGTATCAAAGAATTCAACTTGAATCTCTGAAGATACTTTGGATTTCAACTTTGTGCACTCATACTGTTGAGGACATGGGGGCTCTTGCAGATGGACACAATGCATTTTGCATTATGAAATAGACATGAGCTGTTGGGAGGCAAGATAGAATACTATAGCTTAAAGAGATACGTTTGGGGTGCTAAATTGATGAAGGTACTGATGTATGGTGAATATTCTTATTATTTTAAGAGGACTGAAATATGACTAAGAGATAGCAAAAAGCACATCTGTAGGTGTGTCTGTAATAACATTTCCAGAGAAGATTTAATTAGGGGTAGAGACAGGCTCCAAATATGGCAGCACTATCCCATAGCACGGAGACCTCAGATGAAATAAAAGATGGAAAAGGATCAAGCCAGTGGCAGCAGGTGTTTTCTCTGCTTCCTGGCTGCCATGTTGTGAACTGCTTTGCTACACTGCACATTCCTTACCACAGTGAGCTGGGCACCTAAAACCAAGAGCCAAGGTGAACCTTTCCAAAACTTAAGTTTTTCTCAGGTATGTATGACAGTGACACAATAATTAACAGAATTCATGACCTCTTCCTGCCACTCAAACTAGAAATCCTGAGTTTTCTTTTCTGTTTGCCTCTGCTGTGCTCCAGGAGTCCCACGTATCACATTCACTATCGAGTATACTTCCTGAACAGTCATTAGTATGCTTTGCTTTTCCGAAGCTGTTCCCCTGTCTCCATCTCAAATGCCACCCACATTCATTAGTTCTTCCCCTTGGAATGTGCTGCTCACATGCATCCCATCTCTCCTATGAATTTTTTCATTACTTATTTAATAATCACATGATTAGAAGAAGCATTTCATTGCAGCTTTAACATATTCAATAACAATTTCCAGAGCAAAGATGCATCACTTCCAAAAGTGACTGTAAATTTTTAGGTTTACAGTTGAATTAATAGTTATACAATATTGAACTCAGTATAAACCCTATAAGACATAAAATTGAGGTTTTTTAACCTTTAAAAAAGACCTCCATTTCATTTTAAAATACACTGTTTCATACATAAAAACTAATTTTTAATGCTACTAACACTTAGACATTTGCACCTGTGTCTCTAATCTCTGTGTATCTGATTATTACTAGATACAGTTGGTTACACTCAGATCCTTGGCATCTGAGTGTGGATATAAGGTCATCAGGTAGATATCAATGGTAATGTCTTTCACCTCTACTAATTAACATGAAGCAAATTTATATGGTTTTTCCTCAAATATAACTTTTATTTTTTATTTTATTTATTTTTTATTTGTTTATTTTTTTGTGTGTATATGCCCCGGCCTGCGGGGCTTCAACGTTGAGGGGGTCGCAAGAATAACCTGAAGGAATGAAACAAACAAGGAACGTGAGGAAATGGAGGCAAGACAAGGATCTGATCAAGCCTCAAAATTTTATTGAAAGCAGCAGGCATATATACTAGTAGTTGGGAGGGGGAAGGTGAGGAGAAGGGAAGTGCTGGGCAGACGCTAATTGGTGTTGTTAGGCGGATGCTATAGCTAGGGAGGATTATTCAAGGGGCATTTCCTATCCTAAAGGAACATCTGCTAACGGCTATGGTGAACATTTCTCAGGACTAACATCTGTGG